ATAACTGTATCTAGTAAAAAGTTTTCAAGTGGTTCCTTGGTTGAGCTCGTCTAGCGATTAAAAGCGTAAAACGATAATGGATGTGTCGTGAGTTCGAATCCTGCTCAGATCAAGCAATTTTTAATAAAAAATAAATAAATGGTGTATAGCGGTTTGCGAAAATAATAAACAAATTATTAATAATATAAAATAGTGTTTGGTGAGTTGCGGTTCTGTAAAAAAAAATGGGGATGTGGTCTCAATGGAAATACAATCCTGGATGTTTTTTGAATGTCCAGTATTCGACGTCCAAATATATTCCAGAATTGGACGTCCTCTGAATGGTCAAAAGTGTGCCATTTGTATACTTCACTGGACGTCCATTGGATGTCGGAAGTCCAGAAAACTAATTTTTGGACGTCTAGACATCCAAAATTGTATATCGAATGGACGTCCAATGGACATATTTGTATTGTCTGGGTGATAGCCAGGCCAGGTATTTAACTCTAAATACATAAACCTTAAATGACATCTCGTTTAACTTGGCGAGAAAACATTTGTTTCTACATAAATGAGTAATAAACTTGAAAGTCCTTTTAATATAATGTAAATCTAGAAATTCTAAAAATATGTAAGTACTTTTTGAACCTAAAAGCTTTGAAAATATATGCACATTGCAAATATTTAGTTAAACCTCTCAAACTTATATGGCCGTTTGCACCGACAATTTTAAGGGAAGCTTAAAGTTAAGTAATACTTAAGTATACGAAACTCGTTGCACCGATGTTTTATTACCACTTATTCCAACCTTAAGGGTTTCCTACTAAAGCGGCCAAATTTGCAGGCTTTATACCTTCTTTAGTAAGTATTTGACACAAAGTACTTGTTTCGTTGAGATCTTGAGGGTGGAAGGATTCCACCCATTGCCAGTATTGAAACAACCTAATGGTGGTATTTATATTTACATTGTTAATTATTTCTTTAGAAAATAGTGTTTGTTTGCGAAAAGAATTTATATGAATCCAGCTAATTTACAATTGCTTAACGACTATCAAGATATTGTAGATTTAATAAATTTCGTATTTCCTAGGCGCCTTTATGAGAGATCAAATTATTTTGAAGAAATGAATAATCTCATTTTTCAAACGGTTTAGACTCTATAGAGAAACAGTTTTACATCTGTTGGAACAAATAGAAGTAGATCTGGAATACCCTAATGATAGGTAGGCACCTAAGTTTATGTTTTACAACCAGTCGATATGAAGTGATTTTTTTATTTTTAGAGACAATTGTGTTTCGCCAATTAACCAACTTCTTTGTTGCCATCGTTGAAAAAAATTAACCTTTTTTAATTATTTAAAAAAAATATTTGAAATTATCGGACAAAATCAAACTGTAGAATATCAACAAAACTTCTAGCACGCTTTAGACCATGAACCAAAAAATATTAGGTTAGAATCGTCAAGTTATAAGGATAATCAACCAAAAAATCCCTAGTAGTCACCAGAAAATTAAGCCTCTACGCGGGGTTTGCTGGATTAGTAAAGTTTAGGAATCATTCGTTCGGTGCAACGCCTCCGCATTTAAGGGTTACTTAACTCTTAAGAAATTGTCGGTGCAAACGGCCATTAATGTCTTTTTAATTGTTACCTAATTTTTTTTGGCACCCTTAATTTTATTTACCTTATTTTTACTTAAGGAAAAGGTAATTTAATTTAATTTAAATATGGGGCTTTTATTACATTTTTAACAATAAATAAACCAAATATTGAACAAATTTTATAGATAAATTATAAAATAATAAACGTCTTTTACTTTTATAACAAATAATTAATTATTACATAATGAATTATATTTTGGTGCCGAAATTTCACCATTGCTATTAACCCTAACTACTTCAATGTAATTAAATCACATTGCAACATTTGCGCATGGACTATAACAATAATTTCAGATAATTTGCCAAACTATTTCGCTCAGTGTAGAAAATAAGCATGTTTTCTCAGCGTGCTAAGTTGTGTATCAATCAAAGTCATGCTGTGAAAAAGGTACATCCGATATCAAAGGCACCGACAGCTACTGTCGCTTCTCCTTGATCAGTATTCTCGGGTTATATCTTGAATTAGAAATAGACAAGGATAATTTCGGAAACTTTTTTATCAGTCAGAAATCGTATATTAACAAAATTGTTAATGATCTGGGGCTACAAGATTCAAAAATTTCAAATATTCCACTCGAACCTAGCTATGGTAAAAGCAAGACAGATAATCCCCTGCTTTCAAATGAAAATTACAAGAAAGTAATTGGAAGTGTGCTTTATATAATTATATCAGTAAATTCTCGTCCTGATATTACAGCAAGCGTTTCAATTTTGGCTAGAAAAGTAAGTAACTCCTCTCAGGAAGATTGATCAGAAGTTAAACGAGTTATAAAATACCCTAAGGCAACAAGATATTTGAAGCTGTTTTTGAGTTCTTCTGATCATACGAATGATACAAAATTAGCTGGATATGCAAACTGAGCTGAAAACAGAGCGTACTGAAAATCTAACAGCGGTTATATTTTTAAGTACAATGGTGGAACAGTAAGCTGGTGTTGTAGAACATAATCTAAATTTAACGGTTGATCTGAAACTTTTCAGGAGGCCGTATAGCTGGAAAAGGTACTAATGAGTTTTCAGGAAGGTATAGATAGACCTATTTTGATTTACGAAGATAATCAAAGTTGTTTAAAACTGATTACCTTTGAAAAATTTAGCAACAAATATAAACACATTGAAATCAAATTTAATTTTGTTAAAGATTATATTAAACAAGGAATTATACAATGTGAATATTGTCCAACAGAGACAAATGTCGCGGATTTATTGACAAAACCACTTCCTGTAAAAAGATTAGTTTTTTTTAGAGAACTGTGTGGATTAAGACATCACGAATGGAATACATTCGCGATTATTGATTGTGTATGCCCTGTATATTATATTTTTGAAAATAAAATAAATAAAAAAAAACTAAAAGCCAATATTACATAATTACGAGCGACCGTTTCCCTATGGCTAATACCGCAACAGATATTGAATTATATTCGAAGGAAGGACAGCAGAGATAGAAATTCATTTTTAACACTCTACCTTTGATTTTGCTCACTAAGGAGATCATCAATCTTGGACCGATTTCGTCCTTATTAGGACTCTTTCGCAAGAAATAGATAGATATGGAATTAACAAATGAATAAAAATTCAAGTAGTGAAATGGTGTCGCCATTTGTTCCTAGTAAGCAAAATCAAAAGACGTTGCTTACATTCCTTCGGATATAATTCAATACCTGTTGCGGTATTAGTCAAAGGAGTAGTTGTTTTCTAAAGGAAATGGTCGCTCGTAATTATGTGATATTGGCTTTTAGTTTTATTTATTTTGTTTTACATTTTGATCACATTTGAGTTTGATTTATTTTCATATATGGGCTGATGCCTCTGCTGCATTAAATAAAACAACAAATGCTTGCGAATCTTTTTATTCCCATTTTAATGCATCCATGTACCATACATATTTATTTTTGTAGACGCACTTCTTAAAATACAAACTGAAATATATATTAAATGCAATAGTGTTAACGAAATTCACAAATATAAAAATATAGCAACTAAGAAACGTCATAATTTTGTTAATTCCTAAGTTGTCCAAACTACAATATGTTAAAATAATATCGCACTATTATTATGTTTGCAAATATGTAATTTTATGTATCTATATCTACTATGTATATTTTAAATCAATAAATTTTGTTTTAAATATTATATCAATCTATTTCTTGCAAGCAGAGGTAGGTATTATTATTCATATGCCAAGTTTAAACATTTTAAAAGGAAATCCTTTAATATCGGTGCCGAGCTAGACTATTTTTATTTCTTATATCTGAGACATGTGCGGAGTTTGTATCCCCCGATTTACTGGCATAAGCGGTTTTTAAATCACCTTTGTTATTTTTAATTTAATTATTTTAGTAAATAAGTGAAACGTGAAATTGTACATATACATAGAAGTAATTTTTATTTAGGGTATAATAAAAAAAATCTTTATTTTATATTTTGAAAATTGATATCTTGATCTTCAAAACATCAATAAGGTAGTCCCATAAGTTTTCCCCATCTTAAATGACTGTACTTCTAGCGTGCATTTAAATTTTTCAGCAATTGAAAGTTTATTGTACATCTACAAAAAATTACATTTTACTGTTAATTTGCATTTAAATATGACAGAAGTTTTAGTAATTTATTATGACCATCTAGATCAGCCATGCTCAACCTGCGGGCCGCATGCGGCCCTACAAGCTCTTTTTGCGGGCCTCCAAGCTTTTTTGTGCAGTCCCAAATACGATTATTAGTAATTGAAATGGTTTACGACCTACAATCCTGTCCTTTCGACTTTTCAAAGCTATTAAAACTAAAACAACATGAGGGCCCTTTTTTAAAAAGTATGTAAACTAAAACAGTATGAGGACCTTTTTTTTTAGAAAATATTTAAAGCGGATCCCTATCGTCACCCATTGTCCTTTATTCGCTTTTCAAAAAGGTGGTAACTCTAGTTATCACCCAAAAATGTTGTGGCCCGAAAGAAAAAAAGGTTGAGTACAGCTGATCTAGATAGGGGTAGGTATTTTGAATATATTTTAAACCAGAGTTTATACAACAAACTAACTAAAAATGTACTTCAACTCACTCTTAATAAATTCAAATAAATAAAGCTTAAAACGGTTAGTTACTTAAATAAAAATCTATCTAAAAATAAACCAAATTAATTGTTTAAATAAACCCAAATTTTACCCTCATATCAAGTCAAAATATATAACCAAACATATCATTTACGAATTAATTCACTCCTAAACCATGATTTCACTAAATCTGATCCTCACCTCACAGATTTGTTTTAACCTTTTTTGGTAAAAAATTAATTATTAACCCTTTCACTGATAATTAATATTTTAATCACACTCACACTCTCACAATTTTTTTTTAACCTTACCGATTTTTTTTCCGATGCAGTAGCAATGTATATTTTTCGACAGACAAAACGATACTGATAGGTTACGAAAATAAGTGTTTATAATTTGTAGTTCTTGATGATGTTGATCATAATTCCTCGGGCTATATTCGAAGATTCCTAAGTTTAAAGGAGAAGAATAGCATTGGCGATTAGACAAAATATTGGCAATGCTTAAATAAATTTTCATATACTTAATTATTTATGATTTCTTGTTTTGATAAAATTTACCTAATAATTATTAAAAGTTAGAAATATGGGCGAGGTCGAGTTGTCTCCCGTCTTGAGCAGGTAGTTTTTTTATGAGTCGAATTGTCTCCCATCATAGGTCGAGTTGTCTCCCAAGCTAATGTACATTAAAAGGTATTAATTTTCACAAATTACACCGTTGTTGCCAAATCAAAATTTTATATTTATATAGGAACCATTTAACTACGTTGAAATAGAAAAGTAAAAAAATAATCCTTACATTTATTTATTTCTAACAATAATCTATATTTACACCTTAAATATTTATTAATACATACTTATATTTACATCAAAATCATACTAATTTAATCCATCAACATTTTTCAAATCCAGAAATAGGTACTTGCTTTCCCTCCTTTGTCTTATAAAGGGAGGTATTAAAAATAGTAAACCATATTTCATATATTCTTCAAAAGTTTCAGAGATTGTAAAGTTTGTTTAAACCGAAGTTGTAGAATCATTAGAAGTGTGTACAGTGAAACTATACGTATAATGGAGGCTATAATAATTAAAAGTGAAAAAGCAAAGATTTGTTAGTAATCGATGGGTTTAAATTTTCATTCCACAAGTTATTAGCAAAAGACACTTTAAAAAGATGGCTTTATCCAGGAAAACGCAATGCAAAGCTTTTGTTAAAACAAAATTGGACCGTCTTGAAGTGATAGAATCTTGTTTATCAGAAGATTTTCTAAATAGGCAGACTCTAAGCAATGCAGTAAAAATTAAAGCAATAGAAGATATTTTGGCAAAACCAATGGGCTTGATTAGAAAGGAGGTAAGATAATCCCAGTGTGAAACTATACTACTCATGACGTTGAAATGATGAGAAAAAATATGTATACTGCTAGGTCTAAAATTGCACCAAAACTTTCAACTGATATATTTCACAGTTTTTTAAATTCTGTTACATTAAATCGTGCGCATTTATGCGCACGATTACCCCTTTATGTTTATGTTTTATAAATCCATGATACGACAAAAAACTATGTATTTACTTATCATTCAAATGTGCCAAAGCATTCAAAAAATACTAGATTATAAGAAGACATCTCATTTCAAACGATTGAAAAAAAATTGTGCACTTACCGCCTTATTTTCTGATAAGTTATAAAGATCCGTTGAAAAATCGATAAGTCTATCTCACGGCGCTGGTATGCAAACTGACGTCACCAATGATCGCGCCAGGAATTGAGCCATCGCGTAGGAGAGAGCAGCACTGGTCGAGCGCTTCAGATAACCCGCGAAATTTGAAATATCTTGGTGCGCACGATTACCCGCTGCACACCATTACCCAACTCTCCTATATATAATAAAATAATTATAATTTCCTAATTACTGTTTTATTTTAACAAAATTAGGAAATACCATTCCATATATTTCGTCAAGATATACGATCGATTTGGCAACAACGTTTAGATTTTAAGGTATAAGTACTTATACTAATTACGTATTAAAATCAACCGGAAGACAATTTGACCGTTACCTTTTTGAGAGTCAGGTAATATTTTTATTTTGGAGGACAATTTGACTCGACCGAGAAATATTTTTCTAGATTTTCCTTTCTTTCTATCTATTGAAATATCTTTTAACTTCCTAGGAACTGTAAAAAGTAAATTATGTCTTAGATATAGATAATATAGACATCACATCAATTAAATTTGAATGACAAATACAAAATTAACCATCGAAATCATCCAAACTAACTGTACCTATGCACTAAAGATCAGCAACATATGAAGATCCACAGAGCTCCAATTTGGGACCACTATTATTTAATATATTTCTCAACTTTAGTACACTTAGGACGGATGTCCAAATCATTCGCAAATATGGATTTTCAACTTATTTCAAGCTCTATGTTATACTAATAGCTCAAGTTTATAGAATTATAAAAATAATACCACACAATTCACTAAAGTCTGCTGTCACTTGAGACTTAAGTGCATTCAGGGAGGATCAGGATGTTTATTTGTTTATTTTTATTAATAAATAAGTAGAAACAAAACATTTTGAAATTTCGGTCAGTCACCATCATCAGGCCTGCAAGAAAAAGTATGTTAAAATAGAGTTCTGTTTGAGTTTATGATTTCCTTTAAAATATTCTTAATATTGTGTACAAATAGTACTAGTAATTAGTTAGTAATACATTATGTTAATGCTGATGCCTAAGTCTTAATTTTAAAAATTTACTTTATACCGCTTCTACTAATCAGTGATTTTAATACTTAGTAGAAGAGAAGGAGATTTTACACGAGCTTGAGTATGCGGATACCCGGTTATTTTTTTAATTAATTTTCTTTGAATTCGTTTTGATCTATCACCATCTGGCATTGACTTTTTGATTTTTTTAATTTATTTGGTTCACGGAAGGAATTAGTATACCAAATAATATTATTAGAGAAGTTTTAATTTTTTGCAAAAGATTTTCTCTATGCTGGGGACTTCAATGAAAACTATTCAATCTAATTATTCATTTTCAAGGGAAGGCTTTAAAAAAAAATAATAAATCAAAAATCATATAAAGTAAGACGTCTTAGGAAAAAATAGAAGACACAGAAAAATAGGAAAGAAAAAATAACGTAAATAACGCGCAAAAAAAGGACAAAAATGTGCAAAAATTATCAAAAAATGTGCAAAAAATGCGCAAAAATGAGCAAAAACGGCGGAAAAAAGCAACTTTCAAAAAATTAGTCACTTTACACCGTAGGTATATGTTTTTGAAATCGAATATTATAATAGACAAATGAAATAATATAGAGGATATTTCATTGAAAAAATAAGGGGTTTCCTGTTCGCACTAATGTTAACTGTAGTTTTTACTATGACTTTAACAAAGCGTATTGGAAAGCATTAAAAACAAAAAAGTAGCTTAAAATACGCATAATTCCAGCCTTTTCCGCTAGATGTCAAGTTTGTCGGGAGAAAATATTACTATTTTTATAATGTAAACAGTAAAATGTAAACAGTAATGGCGACGTAAACTAAAGATCTAAATTTCATTTGTAAATCGTCTAATAAATAAACATGGTGAATCGTTGTATTCTTTAAAATTGTAACTACTTGAGAATGTTTTCAAACAAATCATTTTAAAGCACCAAATTGCAGCAACATTTTTTTTAAATGACCCTAATTGTTTGAACAATAAAAGTTGTACTTTTGTTCAAAACGTTTTGATTCAAATGTCATCTGGTAAAAAGTGCTTACATATATTTTCTTTCACCATATTATTCATCAAAATTATTTATATTATAACTTGTAATAAAATATTTATTAATTTAAATGTTTATTACCCATGTAACATTTATTTAATATAAAACAATGTGTAAATAAAACGGAAAACAAACACATGCTATTTCTATATATTCGTTGCATACATTGCATAACTAATATATAATGAAACTAGGTAAGTACCTCTTAATGAACACAAGATAAAAGACAATAAATATTGATTTTATTGTAACTACCTATATATGCTCATGATTTTTACATTCTTAAACGTTCATAATAATTATTATTTATATAGGGTTGTTCATCGGTTTGTAGGAAAGCCGAATAAATCCACTTTTATAATTACATAGTCGGTTATTTGAATTTACCGCCGAAATGTCATCACTAATACAGTTCCGGCGGTATGTCAAATATCACAAACGACATTATCTTCTCCTTTTGCGTTAGCTTGGAAAATTCGATCATGTATTGGAATAGATACGCCTTGTTTACATAAACAATTGTCGTATCATAATAAGGTCCATAATAAGGTCCATAATCGCATGCACAACAAACGATGGTACCAGCAGAGGTTGCCACAGTGTCTGTTTCGATTAAACGTATAAGGATAATAATGATTAGTTCCCAATGTTTCAAGGTTCAAGATACTTAATATGGAGCTTAATATTTAACAGTTCATTCAAGAATTGTTTTTTGCATTGAATCTGTGTTTAAATTAGACGTTTTTAGATTTTGTTCACTAGGATACATCGGTTTAACCATTAAATACTATATTTTAACCGAACATTTGGCAACCCTGTTTGTGTATGTTTTTAAAAGTGTTGTTGGGTGTTTTATTTTAATGGAATATTCTTGTTTTATTTATTTATATAAAAGTAATTGTCTACAAACGTGATTATATATTTCAAAATAGTAAAGAGATGCATAGTTTTCCGAACATTTTGGACCAAAACCACCTAAAACCAATGCTCGCTATTTTCACAGGTAGGTTATGTCAAAATAGATATCCATGGGCGTAACAACTGTGCTAGGGTTTTATTTATTTCTTTATATAAAAATACCTAATTGTAGAAACTGCTTATTTTATGGTATACATTTATTATTTTATACAGGTTTCCGAGAGACATTGTCCAATGTCATTGTGGCTGAATAACTTGAAAATAAATGAGGAACATCTCAAAACTGAAAGATGCCAAAGTTTGTTCAGATCACTTTTCACCTGAAGATTTATTTAGCTACAATAATCGAACATTTTATTTGAAATACAATGTTTTGCCAATAGAGTAAGTAAACAAGTGTCTTTATATACATACTTTCGTATTGATATAGGTAAAAGGTAATTTATAAGTATTTATTGCAAACGTCTACTTACACCTAGTTAAACAATTCTTTTTTGAAACTATTATTAAGGTCTAAAATACTGTGAAACTGTGAAAAATAGCTTAGAACTGTTCTCCCAGTTGCAGTTGTAGTTTAATAAACACAAAGTAAAGTTTTTTGATTGTACTAAACCCATTATTAAAAACTTATAATTTTTTTTAGTACATACTTCGTTGAGGGAAGTAATATAGAAAATGTAT